CAATGTGATCATGCCTATCACTTATTAATGCTACTGTAAAATCCCCTCTGACAGTTCTTCAATTATGAATGAAACTTCACATTTAAAATGCTGTCTTGCTGATGACTCACAGGGTAGGTAAATGAAAAAGACTCTGGCTAAACACAAAACCTCATCTCCATGGTCCTTTTGTCTATGCTTTAACATAAGTTTTTAGGCATTAAGATTAGGGAAATGATCCACTGAGCACTGATGCTGTTGAGAATCTTCAGTCAAACTTTTTTTTTTTTGTGGGTTAGGGAGAATTATTAGATTTTTCAAATATGAAGCTTGTGTATATGCATCAGCAGGAGATACTGCTAGCTGTATGCCAGAGGGACCAGGATGCTTTTTGATTGATATGCTATTTAGTGAGTCCCTCATGCCCAGCAAACGAGTCCTGCTAGCATCTGGAAGCTGGATGGTTGAGCAATCCTTACTTCTTATAGTTTTCAGTTACAATTTTTGTGTTTCCTTTTCTACCAGCTAGTTTCTTGTTCTGCCTGTCATCCAACTGATTTTGGTATGTGTACATGAAATAAAACCTCTCCTTTTAGCCTTAGCTAACCCTTTCACATCTGTGGCTTGGCTACTTCAGGTTGTCCCTCTGGGGAACTAGGACCTAAGAGCAGTTGAAGGGTTTGCTTGGGTACTCATCTGTTTCAGAGCCCAAGGGAAGTGTGTTTATATCTGCACACAGGCAGGCATTTTCCTCCTTTACACCACCTGCCCCACCTTTGCCCCCTCATTTTTTTTTTAAACGCAGTGATTGATACTTGCCATACGAAGTACATTATCTGACAGATAAATTGTTTTTACTGTGCCAGCAGATTTTAGTCCCCATGTAGCTCAAAAATAATTTCAAGCTGCTTATTCTAAGAAAAGAAGGCTTCTCCTGTTTGCACCTGGGGCTGGCAGGTAGTAGGGTACCTGGGCTTGCCTGGGAAGAATCATCTCCTGATCTGGCCCCATGCTGGGAGGAGAGGGCCTGCCTGCCTGGCCTTTCATTTAGATCCGGGCTATAGTGACCCATCTGTTCTTCAGGCATGACACATATCCTTGGGGATTACCCCACCATCAGGTAGAGTGTGTGAAAGGCCGTTCTGACAGAGAGCTTTTCTATTATTTATTCATACATGCTGATAAGAACATGCTTATGTTTTCGTTTGAGTTTCCCTTAAGCGTTTGGGTGTTGAAGTTTATTGTTTATATTTAAGGTCAAAATAGTTTTTGTTATAAGAAGAAGAATAAAATTAGCAGAGCACTCAGTCCTTTCTGTTTCAGTGCTGCCAGAATTGTTCTGTTTCCTTTCTGGTTCTATTGTTTGTTTGCTTTGGGGTTTTGTGGTTTTTTTCATATTTGATTTCTGTGCTTGTTTGTGCAATGTGGTATCAGGAGGCTGCCTATCGTCTCCTATCATATGAGAAAGCAGCAGAGAAAAAGACTTCCTTTATTATGTGAGTTGAAGCAGTTACTGACTAAGCAAAAGAATGATGTTCAGACAAAGTAATAATGTTTTAATTATTTGACTTCTAGCCACAATGTGCACACTGGCAAGAATTTGAATTTTGATTTTATTAGTCTGGTTCATGAAGTGCTTTAACATCTAACTGTACCTGGAACGTGTATTGTGGTACAGTACTCCTGAGTGACTGCCACAACTATTTTATACTAGTGTGGCTTACCTTGATGTCAAGAATCTTTGCTAATGCCTTATTTATGTTGCTTCTGTGCAAGTTCATGCTACAAGGAAATGTTGGTAAATAAACCTTAGTCTAATATTAGCAATTCTGAAAAATATCTTTGTTAACTACTCTTTTTTATATCTTTCTGGTTTCTGTTTGTTTGTAATCTGTGGACATTTTCACAGACCAAATATGTTAAAACTAAACAAAATCACAGATTTTTTCCATCTTCCCGAGTGTATAGCTCAAACCATATTTTTGGCAGAACCACTGATGTGTGTGACATTGATTTTTGCAATGGTCATTTGGTATTGTAGGGTTCATTTTGAACGGACTTAGTCAAGTAAGCAAACCACAAATATAAATATGGTGACAAGTGTTTTAGGTTCAGATTTCACCTCTGATTGGTTTCTTTAATTTCTTTGTGCCCCAAACCTCTGTGAAATCTCGTGTTCCTGGAATGAAAAGTGCTGTTAATAAAGACCTGTATTCTTTCAGTGTTTGCAAGAGGTGTATTCGGAAAATGGATCATCACTGCCCGTGGGTCAATAACTGTGTAGGAGAGAATAACCAGAAGTACTTTGTACTGTTTACAGTAAGTATTTTGCAAGTGATGCTTGAGGTTGTCCAGTGGGATGTGTGTGTAGTCTGCGATGCAGCTCCCAAGGCTGGCTTTCTCTTCTTTTCTGTTTTGGAGGAACTTCATGGGGAGCTGTTGCAGACTTCTGTTTCACTAGTTAGGGAACATACCCCCACACACACCCACACACCCACAGCAATGGGAAAAGGCATGACAGGAAGCATTTGCCAGGGTTTTGTAAGGATTGTGTTGATGGTTGTTCAGCATCTATTTTTTAATGCGAGTAGTTTATTGCAGCATTGAGCTCTTTGAGGCATGGGCCATCTTATTACACCATACTGTGGCTGGTTGGGTCCCAGGCCATATATAGAGTTCCTAAACATTAGAGTTGTATGAGTACCTGTGTGGGATCACATAATAAGAGCTGTTGCCACATCTTAAGCAAGGAGTGGGAAGTCTGCATCCCCTTTGGCAAGAATTATCCACCTTTTAATTGCAAGTGGTATATTTTTGTACTTGAAAACCAAGGAGGTGTTTGACTTTTTGTACTATATCTGTAGCATCATGAGTAAGAAAACAGGAGTGCAGACTTGAATACTGCATATTTCTGGAAGGGTTGAAATGTGTTCCATCAAAGCAAGCTGCAAATATCCCGTGGGAGTAGTGTGAACATTACAAGGCTGAGTTCCAGTGATGCTCTGTTTTATTAATAAATCTTTTGAGACATCTGTAGGTTTGAGGAAGAATGTTCTCATATTACCAAGTAACAAGGGGGAGATTTTCAGTTAAATGGGAAGGCTTAGTGTTCTGTGGTGTGGTTTGCTAGGATGTGGATTACAGAACAAAACAAATCCTGTTTCTTTTCTTTGAGCAAGGGTTTTTTCACCTTGAGGAGTGAGCTAGGTGGTTTAGTCCTATCAAAAGGATTTCAGTTGCTATTAAAGCTTGACATTACTTTCAAGCAGACTGTATTAAACACTTCATGTAGTTGAGAGAAAATCTCTCTACTTCTAGTGTTTGTTGACCCTTGTCAGAGCCTGTAGGTTCAGGAGAGTCATCTTTTTAGCCCTGTCTTAATAAATTGTAACATATATGTAGCATTGCATATAGTTTAGCACTTTTTGTTACAAAGCTAAGGCCTAGATTAAAACAAAAAGGATTAAGTACAAAGTGGCAAGGTGGAGAGAAACTTTCTGTGGCAGTGTCTGCCTCAGGGAAAAGTATTACAAAAATACCTAATTTCTGTGAAAACAGGTGAAGTGCATTTTCTGGTTAAAACAAATTAACTGTTGTTTCTCTGGGAAAGCATAGTGCTCTCAAGAGCAAGGATGTAAGCTGTGGCAACATGTTACCTTGATGTGAGTGTGTCACTGTTCTCTGAAAGTTGTGCAGTACTCAGTGGAGATGATGAGGACAGTAAGCTGCGTGGAAGGCCATGCTGAGGCACAGGAGGCTGAGTGTTGTATCCAGTGGCTTTGACTTCAGCAGTCTCCCTTGTGTTCACTCAGAGCTGTTAGTATGGCCAGAGTGAGTCTGAAATCTTGGCATTTGCCAGCTTCAGGGTGCTTGTTTGGGGGTGGTGGTGGGAGAGCTTGATGGTTTTTGGAGTTGTTTGTGGTTTGGTTTTATTTTGAAGTCTTAGCACTTTGCTTTATTTAAAGTGTTGGGAAGATTTTGCATTTTGGTCTTTAAACTCACCTGGTACCTCTATTACATCCTTTATTTTTCAGATGTATATAGCACTGATTTCCCTGCATGCTCTAATCATGGTGGGATTTCACTTCTTGTATTGCTTTGAGGAAGACTGGACAAGTGAGTACTAACAAAATTCCTCCTTAAAATACCAGATTGCCCTTTGAATAAGAACTTATAATGTAGTTCACTTGTTTCAGTAGAATGCTATCAGGGCTCTGCTATGCTGTCTCTATTTTTTTTTTTTTTTAATGGCCAATCCTAGAACTTCATATTTCTTTTTCACCTGCTGGGATCCTTGGCCTGAAAAGTCCTGTTTAAACTTACACCTGATACTACCTAGGAAAAAGCTGAGATGTAAAGACACCTAATGAGTGTGTGTGCAATAACCCACTGCTGATATGGGCACAGCGCTAATTTCCTGAATGCCAACACAAGATAAGAAGAATGCTTATGCTTTTTTTTTTAAAAGGGCAGCGTGAATCATTCTTTCAGACTGCCAGGAAAACATGCTAACCCAGATCCAAAAATCCACCCTCACAAGAACAAACAATTCCTTTCCACAAAAAAAAAAAAAAAAGCCAAACCAAAACCAGAACCCAAGCAGCTCAAAAAAACCCAAACAAAAAAACCCCCCGTGCTCACTCTGAAGCAGCCAGTGAATAAATTTTCACAAAGCCAGTCTACATATGTTTTTTAAAGCACAAGTGGATATAGGAAATCCTCCAAGTAATGCTTAGTCAAACAGCAAACTGTCAAAGAATGTGTGTGCTGATGTATGTGCTGCTCGTGGATATTTTTGGAGAAGGATTTAGGTATGGGGTCTTTTTGCCATGTCAGTTGTGTTATTCTCTATAATGTCTGGTTTTAATTCATAATACTGCAGAAGATACATATATGAACTGAATTTGACAAGGTTGCTCTGCAGTTCAAAACTTTGTGAAACAGCTCCCAGCTGTCACTGAACATCTGCATTTGACTACAGTGGCCTGGGCCATAGGGGGATGATACATCAACAGGTAGTTTCCTTTTTCCCCCTTTCTCAGAGCCTGTGGCTGTGGAGAAAGCATTTTCCCACCTGTTGCAGGTTTAGGTGGCAGAACAGAACCATTATGAGAGATGGCTATGTTGTTCCATAGCTGCCTTGGATTTGTGCAGATTGTGTTAGCCCCTGATTATAGTGTATCTGTTAAAGCTTAACATCTCATGGGAAACATACAGGCTTTTGGTGATAGTCTCGGATTTCAGAAAATTCCAGAGAGGTTCTGACATTTACAGCACTCAACACTATGAGTTTTGCCCTATAATGTTTTTCTTCCTTTCTTCTGCTCCTCTCTTGTATTGGATCTTTTTGTCTGCTCTTGCTTGAGTTTGCCCTATAGAGTGTGTGGAAAAATAAGAATTTGTCTTAATCTGACCATCTTTAGGTCAGGGCAGCTATGAAAGGAAGCGTAATCTGACTTCGTGTTGGTGATACACATCCTCATGTTCTGACTGCCAACTTGAGATTTCTAATGGACTGTGGAAAATCTGTTAAGATTAAAGTTTAAGAGAGAAGCTACAGATGAAACAGAGTAGAATGGTGTCCTAGCCAGTGTGCTTTGGAAACACCCAAGTGGAAGAGAAAGTTACATTCTTGAAGTGTTCCAGAGTTTGGGTATTTGTTTTTTGAACTTGTGGGAATGATCATTTTATGGTTGAATATGCTCAAGAGTGCCAGAGCTTCGCTGTGTACCTTTCTGGGAATGGTTGTCATATAATTTATTTGCTAGTTTGAGTATGGAGAACTCACGGCTTAGCAGGTGTTTTGCAGTTGCTGCGTTACTTGATGTCTACCCTTCCAACTCTGTTGTTTTGTGTTCACAGAGTGCAGTTCCTTCTCTCCACCAACAACAGTGATTCTTCTCATCCTCTTGTGTTTTGAGGCTCTCCTATTTCTCATCTTCACTTCAGTTATGTTTGGGACCCAAGTACACTCCATCTGCACTGATGAAACGGTGGGTGTCTCACTCTCTCTCCTTTACCCTGTCTCTCACCATTTGCATAAACAACAAAGGGCTGCAGGGTTTTACCTTACTGCACAGGGAGTTCATGTATGTGTACCCTCTGAGGAAAGATCCAGTGTAATGAACTGAACTAGCACAGTGCTGGATTGTGCTCTCTGAAGGTTACTGTGAGAAGTAGTGTACACCTATGTATTGTCTGGGATGCTGTGTTGACAGTACCTCCAGTACGGTAGGCATAGGTAACTGGGGTTACTCTGTGGAGAGTATTTGTCCCTGTGGATTTGAGAAGCTTTTTCCTTTAATGAAGTGCTTTTACATTGGTATTGTCTGAAATTCAGCTGTGTCTCCCCTGGTTGTCACTATTTACAGGTTTGTATGCTGGAAAGCCCAGATGAGTAGGTGAGGGAGGGATATATGTATACACATACACAGACTTAGCCTTAAATATTTTCCAGTTTTAGCTACTTTTTAAACAAAAAACTCTTGCCAGAGGGGAAAAAGAAAAGGGAATGGAGTGGGCTCATGGAAGCCTGCTGGGTATGGTCTGCTGCAAAGCCACCAAGTCATCCCCAATTCAAAGGTGGCATAGCAGAGTTTGCACAGCAGTGTTGCAGTCTCTCCTATATCCCTGCATTTGTCCACTTCTGTAAAGATGGAGCTGGTGACTCCTGGGGGTGTTCCCACATTTGTGAATACTTCCAGCCTTCACCAAGCATGCTCAGACCAGTGAATTAACTGGAGCAGTTGAAGAGAAGTGATAGTCTTTAAAGTATGACAACTCTTCTTTCTTCCCCTGCCTCCTTTAGGTTTCTTTCCCCTTGTTTGCCCATGGCCAGTTGAAGCTAGAATAGATAACTTTGCTGCTGTTGGAGAGCTGTGACTGGCATTTTATGCTGTAAGGGCCCATTGCTCCTGGGTTGTTTTTTGCAGTGTTTTTTTTAATGCTTGGCTTCTGCAAGAGGCTAATGTTCCACCTGTGGCTCTTCTGTGTTCAGAGAAAGACTTCATTGTTTTTTCTGATGGGGAGAGCCCAGGAAGAAGTACAGTGTTGTACAGATCCTGCTGAGCTTGAGTTTATCAATAAGTGTGTAAATTAGCAATGCTGCCTGTGAAATCATCATTTGGATTTCTATATTTTTGAAACCTGTCAAGAATTTTTAGAATCTGCTTCCTACAACCGGGCATAAGTCCTCAGATTTTCCCTTCCCCTCTGATTCTGGGGACTCAGATGTTAAAGGAACAATACCACCATCTAAAATAAAAAAAATGACATGTGGTCTGCCCCCTGTTGGGTTGTGGGTTTTCATTTTTGGGGTTTTTATTTTAGTACATACCAGTAAGGATTTTGCTTTGTGGAATGTCTCATTGTTGATTTGCTGGCATTGAGCTAGCTGTGTCTGGCAAGCAATCTATTTTAAGCAGAGGAATATTTCCAGGTGAGATTCTTCTTGGTCTGCTCTCTTGCCAGTGTTTTACTTCACATTTTAGAGACAAGGCTGTGTCTTACCCTTTGTTCACCTTTCTTTTCCAATCACTGGGAGACATCACTCTTCATGATGAGTATGTTATCCCACCAAGATGGTTCCTTTCTGCCCAAAGGGACCCAGAGCCCTGGGATTTTGCTGTTGTCTCTAGAGGTGACGTTTACCAGGAATCAGCACAACTCTTGCAGTTGAACTGTGTTGTGTGCTCCAGAGCTCCCAGAATCAGTAATTTGAGACACTCAGATGTATTGCAGTGCATTAATCCGTCGCACGGGACAGACATGTAGATCAGGAGAAACTTACCTTGCAAAAGATGTGTAGTTAAAGAACAGAGGGATCTGCCTCCTGCTGCTGCTGCTACCTGTGGAAGAGTAATGCTCTCCAATGACTTCACTTGTTCATTTTGCTTCTGTGGCAGCCAGGCATAGCTTTCCTGAAAGGCCAAACTCACTTTGTGGGTTTTAGATGCAATGTGGATTTTATGTCTTATTTTAAAAAATGTTTAACTAGTGACTGTTTCAGATGATTGCTTGATGGCTTATTTTTGTTCTGCCTCTAACCTGTACTAAACAATGCCAATGATTTCTGAAAATCAGTATCTCATTTAACCCTTTCTCCCTGCTGTCAGCCCATGCATGTTTTAGCAGTGTTTCTAATGACACATGAAGAGGCACCAGGTAGACTCAGCTACACTGAGCCATGGGCACTTCCTGAACTTGCTTGGTGAATCTGGGAGCATTACAGAGATTATCTTTGGGTTTGTGGGTTTTTTGATTCTCCCTTTTAATTTATTTTTTTTTTAAATTTTGTCTGCAAGCTTATAATGGTTTCCTCTAAAACTTTTCCATCTGGTTAGCACATAATGCGTTCAGCCATTAAAGCACATCCTTTTTGTTTGGTCTTAAGTGGTGAGTTTTTTTAATTGACATCAGAGGCAATTGGATGGCAGGTCTTAAAATGTTTCCGAAGTACCTAGGTCTCAACAAAATGCAAGTAATTTTATTTCCAATGAACACTTTTTAGCCTTAATATATTTTAATGTAAAAGAGTGAGAAGAAAAGGAAAGGCAGGATAGATGCATTTGTGTGTCCTTCGGATAAGGGGTAATGAGAGTAGAACCTTTCCCCGAATCCAGAACTACAAAATCTGAGTATTTGACTGAAAATGTGATATTTCTGTTTTCAGGGAATAGAACAGTTGAAAAAGGAAGAGAGAAGATGGGCTAAAAAAACAAAATGGATGAACATGAAAGCAGTATTTGGCCATCCGTTCTCTATAGCATGGCTTAGCCCATTCGCAACACCAGACCAAGGAAAAGCAGACCCGTACCAGTATGTGGTCTGAGGAATTCTTGACCAGCATTTCCACTAAAATAGAAACATATTACAGCACTACTGTTACAAATTTTCCATGAATGTTTAAAACAAAAAGCAAAACAAACTTTTTTTTATGTCTATTAAATGGCTGATAATTGCAGAGAAAAAAAAAAAGCCCTGTATTCCACCATTTTAGATAATTCTATATCTCTGGCTGAAACTGCTGCTGCTTTTCTTTTCTTTTTTTTCTTCTTTTCCTTTTTTCTTCTTTTTTTTTTTTTTGGTCACATTAACTTTACTGGCATTTGTTTCTCTCTGCTTTCTGTATGGCATAACTAATGTGAAGGGGATCCTCTCTGTTATGAGCCACCTCTTCTGAGTAGATTCTCATGCTGTCTCCTGACTGTGATGAGCTCTGTGGATGACATGTGAGTGCCAACAGCCCTACAGAGACACCTTTGGACTTCCTGAAGGAGCACATTGCTCTTTCCTAAGTGAACTTGAACGGGGAAGCAGATACTTCACGTACCAAAAGGTGCAAGACAAGAAGGCAGCGCAGCAACAGAGCCAGTTGACCTGGTGATCACATACAGTTAAACTACTTAAACGTTGCCAACACCAATTCCCACCCCACCCTCCTTTTCCTTTCCAGCCACAGAACTGATTCCATCTTTCTGGCATTATTTTGTCTGTTCCCTCCCTTGTGTGCAGGAAATTGTTGCCCTTTTAGGATAACTGTGGCAGATTTAGAAGACTCTTTGGATTATTAAATGCCTTACACTTGCAGGAAAGAAAGAAAGCTAATTTTCAAGTGTTTAGAATAGCAGAAACATGTTCTTTGTGTGTGTTTGTCTTGGTAAGTTGACTTGTTAGAGCAATGCCTGCTAAACAGTGTTAACGTGGAAAAACTGACCTGAATGCCCAGATTACTCTAAAGACTAATGTTGACAGGATGTGTAGGTGTGCCAGGGTGATTGATTCTATATTCTTAGCATTGCCCTGGTTTAGAGCTTTGTAAATCTTTTCTCATATTTATGCATACATGTGTATGTGTGTAAAGGCACACACATATATGTGTAAATGTTTTAAATTGGGAAATATGTATGGTAAGGAGCATGCATACTGTTATGAACTGTGTGGTGATGAAAGTGGGAGGGACAGAAGGCATTCCAAAAACGGGTAGAGCTAAACCATTCATAACTACAACTGACATCTTGTGTTCAGGCAGGAATTTTATTATGTTTTTGGTTCATGATTCCCATGGGCTCATCAAATGAATTGTAAACAAAGGAAATATACAAATCAGCTGTGTCCATGACTTCCAAGGAATTTTTTCTTTCCTTGGTTTAAAATAAAATGGTATTTTTTTGGAAACTGACCTGTTTAGACTGCTTCAAAGCCACGGGAAAAAGGAGGGAAATCAGGGAAGGAGAAATTTAGTGGATGTCTCATTTTGGAAGTAATGGGAATGCTGCATCTTTTCAGTCTGTCAATGCTTCCATATGGAAAACAAATGCAATAAAATTTTTCCAAAAACTTGTTTGCTGTTCTTACTTTCTTTCTTTGCTTCAAAATGTTGGGGAAAATCGGTGATGGTTTTCTGAACTTTCACTTCTGTATGCAAAAGGACAGGAGCATATAAAGGTTAATTAACTGAGCGTTCAACCTTTACGTTTCAAAGTGAGTTAATTGGTAATGTACTGATCTATTAGTCAGTGGTTTTATTTCACCACTTGGGAGAGGTTGTAACTCTGGTTTTAGTGTGCAATGGTGTTTCTCAGTAAACCCTCCCAGCTTAATAGTTAAGGGCTGGATCTTTGGCCAGGGTCAGTTCAGCCAATGAAATACATACAGGTGGTAACTGGAACTGGTAATGAATCCAGCCCTAAAGCTGCCTTGATACTAAACCAGATGTATTGAAGGGGGAGAGGCTTTAGTCACCTAGGCAATTAAGTAATGAATGCATCTCTGTACAGTTCCCTGCTTCAAAAATGATTTAGATTAGAAATTCCACATTCCAGTTTGGGTTTATATTAATTACCCTTATTAGTGATGCATTCTGGAGGAAGATTGGTGATGTTGTTCTGGTATTTTGACCATTGTGAAAAAATGTGTAATTACTGAGTTTTTCTTATTTCAGACAAGGGCAGATTGTTAAACAGCATTATATAGTTTTGATATTTTCAGTCAAACTGTTTTCATTTGAAATGAGGCATCATCACAGAAATGCCACCTGTCGTGGCTGTGCAGCAGTAACTGGGGCCCTCAGTTTTACTTGCACTGTACAACTTGGTGGTGCAGTTTGATGCAATTTGAATGCTACTGAATGTGGGTCAGTAGTAATATGAAAAGGGCAAACTCACTGATTTGCTGATGGAAAGTATTTTCTTGGGTAGAACTACCTGATTCCAGGTGCTGGTTTAGGTTTAGCATGGCCAAGAGAAACTGAAGAACAAACTCAATCAGAGTTTTTTGATTTTGGAAAGCTAAGTGGTGCACCAAGCAGAAATCAGTGCAAAAAACTGCTGTAAGGGAAGTCTGCCTTAGTCATGATTTCTCATGGCAATGCTTCCTGTGCCTTCTCCTTAACCATCAAACTGTCACAATGCTTGTCTTTTCTGTTCGCTCTGTCATATTTTACAAGTGCATTAAAAGACATTAATGCATTTCTTCTAACATGCAAGAGCTGCTCTGCAGATTGCTTCTGGGTCTGGCCTCATAGCCCACCATCCTCTGGCACTGGGCAGGAGCAGATGTGGAGGGCAGTAGTTGGAGAAATGGGGTATATTCTACAGCACTGCAGTGGTTGCAGGTCAACCTTGTCTAACCGTCCCCATGTTTGCAATGTTGTACCTCTTACTGAAATGAGTGTGTCCAGTATTTTATATTTCTCAGTGTATATCTTCTCTTTTCAGTATTGGTTCAAAATTATGTCACTTGGACTACTGAAAGATGCTGCTTTCTGAGCACTTTTTTTAGGAAAAGGCTCTTCACCCAGAGGGTGGTTGGGCACTGGAACGACTCCCCGGGGAAGTGGTCACAGCACCAAGCCTGACAGAGTTAAAGAAGCATTTGGACAATGCTCTCAGGCACATGGTGTGATTTTGGGGCTGTCCTGTGCAGGGCCAAGTATTAGCCTTTGATGATCCTAGTGGGTCCCTTCCAATTTGGAATATTCTGTGATTCACTTTTATTTCTTTTTTTAAAAATGAAATAGCTACATGATGAGAAAGAGAAAGAGGTGTTGGTTTATTTTGATGCACAAAATTCTCACTTTCTAAAATAATGGTGAGAGATTTAATGTAAATATATATTTTTTTTACAAAAAGTTTCATTAAACAGCAATGAAATGTCTTCAGCAGCTGTGCGTTACTTCCACACACTCCCCCCTTAAATTCTTTTTAAAGGCAAAACCTCATGCCCTACTGACTGTGGGACAGGCAGCCAAAATTAGATTAAAGAAACAATTATAAAACTTCTGCTCATTTTGAATACGTGCTGTGAGGGGATTAGTGAGGTCAGGCTGGGAGAGAGAAAGTATGTCCCTGCCTGCTTCCTAATTGGCATTAGCACAACCTCAGCCTGACCTTGCTTGTCGCCTTGGTTAGCTGATGCTGTTTGGAGCAGGTGAGCAATGGTTTTGGAGGGAAGAAAGGAGGAGTTGCTGCCCAGAATTGTTCAGAGTGTGTATTCCCAATCTGGATGGCAGCATGGATCAAAACAAATTACGCACATGACTGAGGGCAGGGTTAAAGCTTGTTCTGCCAGGGAAGGGTTTAAATGCTTGGTGTCTGTTTCTCCTCCTGCTCTGTGCTACTTGTTTTCCTTCTCTCTAGATACTCACACAGTAAGTGCTCCAGCCGTGGTGCCAGTTTGTTACTAACACATGGGAAACCTCTGCAGTTTGCTGAGGAATGGCCGACAAACAAAGGTGGTCTTCTGCTTTAAGCTGCCAAAGCCTCTGCCTCCTGCTTGCACAGCCGCTGGCTGCTGGAAATGGAGTATCCTGGAGGAAAAGCACATGGTAGTGCTAAAACGCTTTGCCAAGGCTCTGGCTCTGCTGTGCCTGAACACTGCTCCTCTCCCAGCTTGCCCAGCAGGGAGGTAAGGATGGGCCCTGGCTGCAGCAGCACCCAGTGTGGCATCCCAAGGGACTGTGAGGGATTTCCCCTGAAGCACTCAGAATGGTGCGTTTGCAAGCCTGGGAGCGGAGAGGGGACACAGGCCTGTGCTTAGCCTTGCAAGTCCTTCAGGGCTTGAATTTTTCCTGAAATTGCAGCCCTGAAGAATTCTGTTTTGGTATTGCATCATTCCTTTCTGCACATTCACTGCTGGGTTTCTCCTAAGTCAGCATGAGAAACGGGGCATGAATGAAGCTCAGAAAAGCTTTGCACGCAGTACTTGGGTTTATGGTGTGTGTTCTCCTGGGTCTGCTCGTGCTGACTCAATGTTATGGCAGAACTGAGCTGCTGCTGTCGTGGTATTTGGAAGGCTGTGAGTGCAGCTGTGGTGCTGCTGAGCTGCTGCGTGTAGTCATTCCCCTCCCCCCGCAAAGCTTTCGATGTTTTGTGTGCCGTTAAAGAAAATATGTAGAATTACAACATGACGAGCGTGTTGTTCATTCAGCTTTTCTAAAACTGTTCTGTCATATAGTTTTAACTGAATTTGCTCATTTTTTCCATTCCTTGAGTTTCCCAAAACTTGGATCCAGAATTCTTGCTTCTCTAAGAACCATTTCTGTGTGATCACTTGTATATCATCATTAGTGTTGTCATATGCAGCTGCAGATCTGACTCCTCTCTTACATGATACAAAAGCTGGGTCGAAAAATATTGTGCCCTGTTTCATATAGAGTAGCTTTTAGAAATAATTTATTCAGAAAATAAATGTCAGTTCTCTATTTCTACATGGAGAAGACTACCAGAAAAAAAAAGTCACTGCCAAATTTGATGGATCTGTTCTTTAAATGCAATCAAAATGTTTGCTTTACTAGAAGTGATGTTTTTGGAGAGAGAATTAACCAGAATATTGACTGACCCAGACTCCAGTCCCATTTTGAAGCCTCCACTTCTACCTGTACAGATTTTCTTACCTCCCAGCGGGTGTTCTTGCTTGCATTGTGATTTGTCTTTGACAATTTCATAAAGGAAATTGTGTTCTTAAATATTTGCTCTTAACTGGCACAGGGCAAGCTTCTAGTGCCAAGCCTAGGTGTGACAGTGGTAAATTCCTGATCACTGGGAAATGATAGATACAGGCAGTATTTTGCCTATATCTGAACTGTTGCAAAAATGGCCAAAGAAGGTGAAACTCTGAGTTCTATTTTGTTACGCCTTGGAGGTGTTCAAAAAGCCACATGGGAAGAGGTCCATATTTCCAAAAAGGCTGCCTTTTCAGAAGCTATCTCTGTACCATAAAAATCTATAGTAACTGATGCCAAAATGCACCAGCAAGATTCAGATTGTCCATGAATTTGATCTTGTTTGAGGGTTTTGTTGTTAAATTTGGAGATGAAATTCTCAGTCACGCAGAATTTTCTGTCTTCTTTGTTAACTCAAACTAGAGTAGCATCAACCTGGCTATAGATAGGCAGTTCTGCCCGTGCTACAGTGGCTGGTGCCCAAATACCTGCTATAAACATGA